TGAAAAAAAAATAATTTATTAGTTAATTATAAATATAACAACTAGTATAAAACCTGTAGATGGGGTGTGATAACCTAGTAAAGTGGTCAGATTGTCAATCCTCCAAGTAGTAGGTTGGGTGTTCAAATCCTATCAACAGCAAAAATTTAGATAATTATCTATATAATATTTATATTATGACAACTGTTACTAATAATTAGGTTAGAATATCTGTAATGGCAGTCACACCAGCATGACTGGCAGGTTATAGGGCATCTGTGTAAGTATAGCATTATACAGAGAAATGCAAACTGACAAATTGAACAGTGCAAACACTAGATAAGTTCTTGTAGCTATGTAAATCCATTGAAATTAGATAACAAAAAGTCTATTTGGGTAAATCTGAATAGAGAGGTAGCTGAATTTTTGATGGCCCTACTGTAAAGACTAGCTTGAAGAAACAAATACCAAGGTTGTAGTACCTGGTTATAGTAGTCAGATAGGCAAGAACCTTTAGGTTGAGTTCTCAGAGATACCACCAACCAGACTGCTAGAATGAACTAGAGAAAAAGAATATCAGATCAACCTGATATATCAATAAACTGATCATAGTCTTATACAAACTATCTGGATTGAAAGTTTGATAAAAAGGCAGATAAAAAGGTAAAGATATATTAAAGTACTAGGGTTATGCTATAAAGTAGATGCTAGGGTCTAAGTAAACTCTATAAGGACATAGTAGTTTAATGGTTAAGTTCTAACCACAAGTGTTGGTTCTTCCTAGTGATAACTAGATTAGCTATAAAAATGGATACAGAAGATTTTGGAGGGTTTATTTTAAAAATAAATTAGTCCTAAGATTGAAATAATAATCTGAACATCTGAGTATAACTCAGTGAGTTAATACAGGTTACAGGTTCAGAGAGTTTAAAGTAGAACATCCAAGCAAAAGTGTTAGATATGACAATTAGTGAGAAACTTTCAGGCAGACTTTTTAAATAGGTAATATAGAAAAGTTATACATGTAGCCAATTGTACACTCTCTTGTAGTGATTCATTGAATCTCAATACCAATAAGTGATTAATAAAAATCAAAAAACCAAAAAGGTTATTTTAAAAAAAAATAAAAATAAAAAAATAAAATTTATAGATAGATTACTAAAATAAGTAACTAAAAGTTGTATATGTGACTAGTTGCATACTTCCTATATACATGTTATATATAATGTATTAACTAAAAACACAAATAAAGACAATAGTCATTATAACATTAGTCTTAACAAAAACAAAAAAAAATTTTATTATATATATTCTTAATAAAATAATTTGTAAACTTAGCTAAATAAATTTTTAATATGGGGATGGGGTATTGTAGCCTAGTGGTCTAGGCACCCCTCCTTCTACAGACAAGATCGACAGTTCAATTCTAGCTAGAGGCAACTCTGTAATCTATAGAAGCATATAAAGGTACGCGAAGTCCTGTAGCTAAGTCCATATGATTAGAAGATCAGTATATAAGAAAGTTCTCAGAAAAAAGATTCCTGATATGGAGAGTTGGTACTTGATGTAAGAAAAGCAGTGAACATACCAGAAATGGAGAGAAGGTGCACTAGCAGGTGATACAGTGAATATAAAAGAAAACTATGGAAAAGGAATGGACTTACTGAAATTCGAACACTTCTGGCACCAAACCAGTTTTAGTAGATACGGGATATACTAAAATTGAATAAATCTAAGAGGTAATCTTGGTACCATACTTAGTAAGTTTGTGTCAAGGGTAAATTCAAAAGGACTATGGATACTTAGTAACATCCAATGAGATGGGACTTAGATATAAATAGTAATTAGATAGCTCTAATCTGTTCTGTCATAAACATGGTAGTATACATTGTATATATATGCAGTTAAGTGTTGAAAATCAGAAAGTTTAAATAGAGGACTCACAGGTGGGTCTCAGGTATGGCATCTAGTAAGTAACCTATGAGCAGAACTCTTAATTAGATAATAACTAAAGTTATATGTATGACTAGTTGTACTTTCGTTGATATACTCTGTATATAATATATAATCTTATACTACTACTAATAAAAAGACACACGGGCAAGACTGCCCTTAAAAAAAAAAAAATAAATAAATTTTTAATACATTTAATATTAAATAATTCTGACTTTAATAAAATATATTTCAAAAAATACTAAAAATCTTTTATTATAGTTATATTTTTTAAATCTTAAAAAAATATACTATACTTCAAATATATTTTTAAGATATAAATTTAATTTTTAAATTAAAATAAAATTAAATAAATAGAGTTGAGTTTTTTTTTTTTAATGTTAAAATGATCTCTTTAGTCTTTTGACTTTTATTAATAACTTTTTTGGTAATGTGATTTTATAAACTACTACAGAAGAGTGTATAATTGACTATATATATAACTTTTTTATATTACCTATTTAAGGAGTTTACTTAAAGGTTCTTTACTAATTGCTATACCTAATACTTTTGCTTAGATATTCTATTTTAAACTCTCTGAACCTGTAATCTGTATTAACTTACTAAGTTATATCTAGACACCCAGATAATTGTCTTAAGCTTAGAACTATTTTATTCTTGAGATAAATAGCTCAAAGCCTTCTGTACCTATTTTTATAACTGACTTAGATATTATTATAGCAGAACCAATACTTGTAATCAGAATTATATCATTTAACTACTATGTTTTTGTAGAGTTTATACAGACTTCAATATCTACTTTATAGTATAATCTCAGTACTTTTAGTATACTCTTGTCTTTTGTTCAAATTCCCAATTTAGATAATATATATATAACTATAAATAGTTTATTAATATATCAGATTAATTTGATATTCTTTTTTTTTGATTCATTCTAAAAGCTTAATTAGTAATACCTTTGAGACTTCCAACTCAAAGGTTCTTAATCATCTAAATACTATAATTTTAATATTTATTTTTTTGAACTAATCTTTATAGTAAGGTTGTTAAAATCTAGTTATTGGGTCTTTTTAAATGAACTTCTTGTTTAAATGGATTTCTTGTTATTTTATTTTAATGAATTTATATAATTACAAGAACTTATCTAGTGTTTGCACTACCTGATTTGTTAGTTTGCATTTCTTTGTATAACTAATTATATAAATATTCTATAACCTGCTAGTTATACTAATGTAATTACTATTACAGATATTCTAATTTAATTATTAGTAACAATTATCATAATATGAATATTATATAGGTAATTATTCAAATTTTTGTCATTAATAGGATTTGAACATCCAATCTACTACTTAAAGAATTGATAATCTGATAACTTCACTAGATCATCACACTCTTCATAGAATTTAGCAGAAATTAAGCAAATTTTTTCCAAGTAAATTTTTTTAAAACTTTAAATAACAATAACTTAACAACAACTTAATCAAATTTAATAAAAATTTTTTTAAATAAATTTTATAAACTTATAAGATTTATTTAAAAAAAAATTGATTAAATTTGATCAAGTTTTTGTTTAGATATTAGTATTTAAAGTTTTTAAAAAAATCTAATAAAAACAATTTGCTTGATTTCTATTGGCTCACTTTTATATATCTAATTTGACTAATACTGTATTATAAAAACTTAGTATTTTTACAACAATTACCAAACTTACCTATTATGATTAGTTCAATTGTTTCTTATTAGCTCTAAAAGAATAAATATTTGATATAAGCATAATGATTTACTTAGTGTTTTACTTGTACTAAAAATATATTGATATTCCAAATTAAAAAAGTTTCAGTAGGTCTTCAAAATATTGATTTGAATAAATTAGTTTAAAAAATAAATATATTGATTTTTTATTTTTAAATAATTTTATTTATTTATTGAAGAATAAAAATACTAGACTATAACTTATATGGACTATATATAAACATTCTTATAATAATAATACGAAGACTATATATTGATACGTATCTACTTTGTGTAAAAAAAAAACCAAAAGATTAACAATTTTTATATTGGCAATAAAAACAATGCTTGTTAAAAGACCATGTATGTACATATTTCATTTTATACAATAATTGTTATTTGGTTTTTTATTTATATTCGGATAAAGAAACTGATACGTATCGATATCGATTATTGATACAATATCTGACTACGTATTACATAACTGTGTATACATATTCGCTGCTTCAGGAAAATTTTGGGTACCGTATTACCTCGAAATAACGCCCGGGGTGTAGGTTAAAAATTTGGCCAGAATTAAGCTTAATTCTGGCCAAATTTTTTAACCTACACCTGGGCGTTATTTCGAGGTAATACGGTAAATGCAAGCTCATGTACGCCCATTGAGTTAAATGATATACGCCAAATTAAAACCAGTTGCTGATCATGAATTTCTAAGTTCAGTTCCAGGTTTTAATTTGGTAGTGCTGATTAAAAGAATGTATGTTTTGAGACAAGACTTTCTCATATCCTCTTTTGATGGTTCGATTTATTATTAGAGCATGTGTCAATTTCTTCACTTTACACGTTACAATCTATATCGATATGCTCTATTGTTAATAATTTTTTGAATTAAGTCGCGAATTGGGCGAAGCCATGATTTTAATTGTCGTTATACTTTCATCTAGTAAGCCTGATGTATATTATGATAAATATATAATGTAATAAAAGAAATCAATGATGTAACATTTTATTTCCATAAGCCTGAACGCGATAAAATCATATTCGTCATCATCTATATTTTAATTTATCATTGAATCTAGACATTATCGTTATTATTTATATATAAATATATGTTCTATCACAGCACTTATTTTAATCCATGCTTGACGGTTTTAAACCTACATATTATTTATTATTAAATTAAGAAACTCAATAGTGGGAATACTGCTCTGTTTCAGAAAATAACAATTGCCAGATTTATTCACGCTCACGAGATATATTTAATGAAACAATCATAAATTGATTTGAACCAAGTCTTTTTGGATTTTGAATTTTTTTTTGCTTGATTTGAGATGGCTATGGAAGCTAATGACAAACGAAGCTTTTCAACTAACAAAATGAGTGATGAAGGAGACATTGATGTTATTGATAGTGTCGACGTTGGGAAAATCCATGACCCAGAAAAAAATTGTGAAAAGAAATTAGATGAAAATTCTCAAATTCCCATGATTGCGGCGGTAATTATTAAATGACAACTATTATCATTTCACTGTTTTATGCTGTATTATCTTCGAGCTTTCTTTGATCGGAAATCTTAGGCCGTCAGTACAAGAGACAATCCGATGCTACCGTGCTTAACTTTTCGATTTTGGGTATTAAGTAGCGTAAGTCCTAAATTGCACATGAACAATCTGTCGATTAACTATTTGTTATTAAAGCTTTTATACAGTAACTTTTAGAAATTGTCTTTATGAAATTGAAAATAAAGCACGTGATTTTCTAGTAATTATATTGCTTTTTTGAATTTTTTTTACAGTTCTTCACGATATTAGGAGCCACGCTATCGGAATTTTATTACTTTCGTCCGAATGGTGGCGTTTATTCCATGTTTTTTGTATTACTGGTCTCGTATATCTTGGGAATATGGATGGAAAAAGTCCTACCTACACGAAAATTTCAATTTAAAAACTGGAAATTTAGTCTTAATCCTGGTTTGTTAATTTTACAAAACGGTTGTATTTGTGATCGATCGTAAACATTCATGTCGTGTAACGATGTTATAGGCCCTTTCAATGTAAAGGAACACGTGTGCATATTTGTTGCGGCTGGTGCGGGTGGTGGATCTGCATATGCTACGGTATGATTCCATTCGATTTTGACTCTTCGCTTTTTAATTCTTACCGTATCTTTGATTTTGCCATATAGGATATTATTGCTATACAAGATCTTTTCTATAATACCAAAGTTAATTTTTTAAATGGATTTATGTTGTTAATGAGCACACAAATCCTTGGATATGGGCTCGCTGGATTTCTTCGTAAATGTAAGTATATCCTCGATAATTGATTACTTCTCATACTTAAATTTGCTGTTAATTAAATTTATTTCAATAATTACAATAATTACACGGATTAAGTCTTGGTTCGTCCTGCTAATATGATATGGCCTTCAAATCTTGTCTACGCATCCATGTACAACACGTTACATGGTAATGCTTCGGAAACACGTGACAAGATTCGGTTTTTCGCTACTGCCTTTACTGCTATGTTTGTTTGGCAATTTGTCCCACAATACATGTTTACTTGGTTGACCAGCATGGCTCTCTTGTGTCTTATTGCTCCGTATAGCAAAACAATTAAACAATTAGGAAGTGGGTATCACGGTGTTGGCATTCTTAATATCTCATTAGATTGGAATTCTATTGGACAAATTGGTCCCTTATTCACCCCATGGTAATGTGGAGTTATTATTTTTTTAATGTGGTTTATGATAGATTGGTTTATGCCGATACCTTTACAATTCAGGTGGGCTCAGGTGAATTTTTACTGTGGTGTTATCCTTGGTGCATGGATTATCACACCATTGGCGTATTACTATAATGTCTTGTAAGTAATTATTTACGTATTTCGACACATATGAACTTTTCAAGTTAATTTAAAAGTTTTATTTAGTGATGCAAAAAAATTTCCATTACTTGCTACTTATTCATTGGATAAAGATGGTCAAAGGTAAGTGATAATTACCTTGTATCAACTTATTTGTTGCTATTGTTTTGCCTTAATAGGATGACTTTCGTTGTTATTTAGTATATATAAATACATATATATTTGATTTTTTTAGATATAACCAATCTGCTATCATAGATCAGTCGACTGGAGCTCTCAATGTTACTGCTTATGAGAATTATAGTCCAGTATACCTATCCATTACATTCGCCCTTTCTTACCTTTACGCTTTTATCACTCTTACTGCGGTACTAAGTCACGTGGTCTTGTTTTACGGTAAAGAAATTTGGGAGCGATTCAAGGCTAGTCGTGAGGAAGAGCAAGAGGATATTCATTGCAAGTTGATGAATAATTATGCAGGTCTTATTGATATTAAGATTAAAATCTTTTTTATCAATTTCGAGAAATGAACAAGATTAATGTATTATATATGTATACGAATTTTTTAATAGAAATATCAAATACTTGGTACGCGTCAATTTTTATTGTCATGTTAACAATTGCAATGATTCTCTGCTATACAACCGATGCAAATTTACCTTGGTGGGGATTATTAATGGCGATTTTTTTGGCCATATGCATGGTGCTTCCCGTAGGTGCGTGTAAACGATGATTATATAAATATATATATAGTCTTACATCTAGGTACATGATATAAAATACGGTTTTTTCAATTTCTGATAGGCGTTATCCAAGCTATCTCAAATAATCAAATCGGTTTAAATGTGCTAACCGAAATGGTGTGTGGTTATATTTTACCTGGTCGTCCAATTGCCAATGTATATTTTAAATGTTATGGATATATGGCAATGTATCAATGTTTGCTACTTGTTTCTGATTTAAAGTTGGGTATGTAATTTTTTCTAAAATTTATATAAGTTATTTTAATTACTTTATTTATAATACTTTATTTTTTTTCATTATGAATAGGTCATTACATGAAAATCCCTCCGAAGAGCATGTTTATATCCCAATTATGGGGTACAGTTCTTGGTGGATTTGTAAATTATTGGGTATTGAATCTCATAATTGCAACAAAAAGACCTTTTCTTGATGGCACATTAAGTGATCCAACTGGTCAAGTACGTTTATTTTAATTATCTTTTTGGTTAATCTCGGAAATTTATCAATAATTTTTGCATAAACAGTGGACAGGATATGCATCTCAAATGTTCAACACTGCATCTATAGTATGGGGATTGGTTGGGCCTGCAAAGACTTTTGGAGTAAGTCGATTTAAACAGAAATTCTTTTTTCTTTTTCTTTTTTTTATTTACATGCCGATTTAATACATTTTTATTTTCAATAGCGTGATTCAATGTACAGCATACTCCTTTGGGGTTTTCTTATTGGTGTTTTTGCTCCAATACCATTTTACCTACTTCATCGAAAATACCCGAAGGCTAGATTTGATCTTGTGAATATACCACTAATATGTTATGGATTAGGTGTAATTCCTGGGACTTATACAAATTTTATAACTACCGGATTTATTGCTAGTTTTTTAAGTCAGTATTACGCGTATCGGTACAAAACTCGGTAAGCTTAAAATTGATTACATTGTCACAACTTGAAAAGAAAATTAATAATAATATAAATATTTTTCTTTTATTTTGTAGGTTGTGGACAAAGTACGTTTTAGTATTAAAGGTTTTAATTATAATGTGAAATGATACTGATTCGCTATTTCTATGCCATTTATGCATGATAGGTATAACTATGTATTATCGGCAGCATTTGATAGCGCTGCACAAATTGCAACAATGACTATTTTCTTTTGTCTCAATGGTGTTGTTAAGGTAAGTCGATCATCCAATGTGAAACTTTTTTTGTCATATCTGCAGTTTCATACGTATTTTCACATATTATTTATTGTCTTTAGATGCCGTTTCCAGAGTGGTGGGGTAACGATAGGATTTCTCAAGGAGAACGTTGTTTTAACAATGAGTAATTTCGTATTAATGAAACGATATTATAGTGCTATAATAATATTAATTTACACAATATTAATAATAACAATAATGCTGTTTAGTAATAATTTTAGTCATTAAGTTTTAATAGATTATGTTTTTCTCCGGTCGATTTTTAATATATGATATGATGCAAGTGATTTTATTAATTTTTTTTTTTTTTAATTGAAAATGGAACTTTTTCAGTTAAATCTTTCAATGTATAAATAAAAAAATTCTTTAGTCATTAAATAAATTATTGTGCACACATTTTTTAAAGTTCTGGTGTTTACATAATTACGGTTACTATACTCACATAATTTCAAATATAGCTTTTGTTTCACATCTTCGTATATAGTGTAGTTATGGTGTGTTGTATAATGTTTAGATTATTGGAAATGTTAATAAAAGTAAGTTAACAACTTAGATCGGTTACTGGTGACGTAAGCTCATCTTTTTAAATCCCATTAAAAAGAATATTGTAAAGAGTGTATATTCATTCTCTTTAATTTGCAATTATCAAAAATAATGGGGCTATTAAAAGTCGTGAGCATAGTATAAAAACTATGTAAGGCATCAAAAAAATTGAATTATAAAGTACAAAATAGCATTGTAAATTGATGAAAAATTATAAACATGATTCTGCCCTATGTATTAAAAAAGATATTCTACAAGAAAGAACAACAACAAGAAAAAGAATCTATGCATCGATCTATTATCTAAAAGAATTATAATTACGTGAAACTTTAAAAAATAATTTTCATAAAAACTTATGTTGTTTGACTCGTATCTAAGATTCCTTTTGCTACTACATCCACCTTAACTTCAGCATTATTTGATGCTGTTTGACTCGTATCTAAAATTCCTTTTGCTACTACATCCACTTTAACCTCAGCATTATTTGCATATATTGTGACAACGCCCTTGACTTCACCAACCGCTCTCGGTTGAAATCGTACGGGTACAATGGAGAAACCCTCAGGTTTAACTACAATACTATTCATAGGAAGTGATAAAACAAACTTGCCTCCGGGGCCTGTTGTTGTTTCGCATTTGCAATGAAGTCTAACAGTTTCTTTAGCGGTATTAGATATTTTAATTCCCATTGAACGCTGTTTTCCAACTCTTGTAGCTGGAATCCGAATTTCTGTCTCATCAACTTCAAATTTTACTTCCTTTTTTGGAGCTCTATGTTTTTGCAATAATGAACTAAAGGTATTTTCTGTCGCAACCCCTTGAAATTTCATGCTAACAGCATCTATACCACCAATTCCACCTTCAGTTGTATCTTCTAAGACGAATGTTTGCATATATGTTCCTACACCCATAGGTCGAAATTTTACATCAACTCTCTCAGCATTTTTTGGTCTTAAAATACCACCCGATTTTGTAATATAAAAAATTTCATCATCTACTTTCTGAGCTTGATTTGTAGCGGTCCCTAAACGACGAAACACAGGTCTATCGACTTGAGTAAACCCCCACGTAACTATACTATCAGTAGGGTTAAATATATGAAATACGCCAATCGTTGTTTCACGTACACTAGCAGTTGGAAGATTTATTTCACCGGGAATTCCTATATGAATAAAATTACTACTAGTAAGTGGTTCTTTAAGTGGTTTCATTTCATATTCACCATCAATTGGTGACAATGGTTGACTAGGTTTTCGTCTTATTTGATTAGATCTATCGGGATCCGGTGTATTTGAACGACTCCTCGAAGGTGCACGAGAACTAAGTGTAGAGCTGCTAGCTTTGTTTCGTATATTCCGAAACGATTTTCTACCAGGATCAGGTGTTCGAGATCGACCATTAATACTTGGGTGTGAAGAAGGTGATAAGCTATGATTGCGTTTAGATTTTCTGTCGTTGCTTGGAGTACTCGGTCTACTAGGGCGAGGCTGTGCTTGGGGGGATTCTGATACACCATCATTCTCAATTATTGTTGGGAGAACAGGTTGAACAGTAAAACATTCACTTGCCTCAAAATTACTCTCTGAGGGCTTAACTACCTCTAGTGTTGACATTTTGTAAAGAAAGATTAATAAATTTCTTTGTAAGCGGAAGAAAATTTGATCGTGTGAGACTTAATTGTTAATGCATTCATGCGTTATTAAACATTAAAATTCTCCCCTTGCAGGGTTTCGTATTTGTGGTATCATACAGCCCCATCATGTGATATATTAGCAGTTCTATCATCATATCACGAATTTCTAATAACCATGCAATTTATACATAATTATTAATGCATTATTGATATAGTTATCCTACGTATTAATTTATACGTATTAAAACCTAATATATATATATATATCGATATACGTACGTATTTGCATGGCGCGCAATACCGATATCTATTTAAAATTCATATGTATCGGCAATATGGTATGATTTTTAAAATAGGTATTTTACATTCCCAATTTGGCGATCCTGGCCGTGAGCTTAGCATAGAGGTTGGAACCAGTTTTAATAATTCGGATTTATCCCGTGAATTTTGGGATATTTTAGAAATTTATCTAATTAAATTTTAACATATCACAAAATTCATGTGATAAACCCGAATTATTAAAACCGGTTCCAACCTCTAGCTCAGCATTTTCAGTTTCTCGCTTGGCATTCTCTTCCATAACCTGTTTTATCATTTTAGCATTCTTTGCCTCAAGCTTAGCCTTTTCAGCTTCAAGCTCAGAAATTCGTTGTCTCAATGAATCATTCTCAGATTGCATGTTTTAGTGTTTATTTAAAATGCGTAACTAAAGTAATAAAAATTTCGATGACGGCCCATCGTCAAACATTCCAATGAAAACTTACAAATCATTTATTATAAAAAATTTTTGAATGGTACATTGCAAAATCAGTTGATATCAATTTTTTGAAAATTCTTTTTCTAAATAGTGTTTTTCTAAATTGTTTGAATCGATTAGGAGATGGGGATTTAGATAAAGGTTAATTTTTATTGTTTTTTTCTTTTGTGGTGTATCATCTATTAACATTATATGAACAATGTACAGTAATAAGAGCTGATAAAATAGCAATAAGTTCAGACTTAAATGAGCAAAGTCAGTATCTTGTTTGGGTTTGAAATGTATGCAATATAATGTTATTTGAGATTTGAGTCTATCTAATACCCATAGAACATTGTAAGGTATTCAGATTAACAATTGAGTCATCTGTATAGAAGTGAAGTTCTAATAATTGTACATTGTGGTTAGCAATTTGTTGAAGATTATTTGTTAAAATATCAGATTAAAAAATAATTAGAATTGAGTATGTTATAATATTAATATTAGGAAACTTAGGAATTTGAATAGAATGTTGAATTGCAATAAAGTATATAAGGTCAATATAATTAATGTTAAAGTTAAGAATTTTGTTATATATATTAACTCAATCAAATAAGAATTAAAAGAGCAACCTGGACATGCTTGTGATTGAATAGATAAAAGAAGAAAGAGGTAAGTAAATTATAATTTTATATAGTATTATCAGTAAGTAATAAGAATAGTTTTTAAAGAAAAAGGTTGTTTTTTGATTTTGTTATTAATAATTTGATTATTAAGTACTATAATAAGTTAGTTTTTATATAAAAAAAAATATTTAGTTGAAAAATTATAATAGTTTATACTAAATAAGTGTAAATATTGGTAGAAAGTATAATTGTATAAGTGGTTTATAGTTTGGTTTTCTAAATAATTAAATCAAAATAGTTAAAAATTTTGTTTATATATAAAGATATATGTTTCTAATCTGAAAAACATAAGTTATCAAATATAGTAAGTTAGTCTAAATAAAGAATACAATAGTATCTAAGTTGTTTTTTGAATATTAAATATTTAAGATATGATAAGAATAGTAATTTAAGTGAAATAGATTTTTTTTTGAATAGTATGTTTGATATTATATAATAGATTGAATGCAAACACTATACTAAGATGTTTAAAAAGTTAAAGAATTATAAAATTAATAGTATATTTTTTTATTTTTTTTTTAATATTAAAAGTTCCTATCTTTAGGATATGATATTTTTATTCAAGTATATAGAACATAGCATGCCATCAGGAACTACCTTATATTGAAGGTTACAACTAGTCATACATACACTTTTGATGTCTAATTTAAGTAGTCTGTTTATATATTACTATATAAGTTCTATACTAGATGCCATATCTGCAAGTTAACTAAGGGTCTTGCCTATTTAAACCTTCTGTATATGCAATTCTCTTTGTATTATGAGAACATCTTCAAGACTACATTCATCCAAGTTCTTAATGCTGATCAGTACTCTTAGGACTACTTTATCCTTGATAGGAAACTTACTAGAGCTTTTATATCTCACATATACTGACCTAGTTTTATGCAATATGTTATAGTTATTTAATACTTATAATTACAAGGATTATCTGTTTAACTGCTATGTTATACTATTTCTATTCTTGTAAAGTTTACTAGAACCCTAGTATCTATTTTTCTAACATCTTCTTTATTATCTCCTACTAGTTGCAACTTGAAACTATCAGTCTTATTTCAGACTACCAATTCAGATAGGCTGATATAATATACTTCTATATTCTTTTTCTTTAGCAAGTCTGGTAACCTAGTTGGTTATATACTTCTCTATACATATTTGTTGTCTAGTTTTAAGTTTCAGTTCCTATGAAGATGTTTTTTGGTTTTTAACTAATCTAATGATACTATTAAAAGTTTATACTACTTTTTTACTCAGAAATTTCTAAGTGAGTTTTTGTTACCTTGGTTCTTTAGTCTTTTATGCCTAGTAGTCTTATTATGGGTTTATACTAAAATCTTATATAATATTAGTTATACATTCTTCTATAAACATGTAATATTATACTTCATATAGATGCTCTGAGCTATTAATATTAGTAGGATCTAACTTGATGTATCTGGGTTACAACTACATAAGGCCAATTGATTAACAGAAGACAGTTACTGTAATGCAGATATAATTTTCAAATTTTGTTATAGATAGAATTTGAATCTTAGATTTGCTACTTGGAAGATAACAATCCAACCTCTATATTAGGATTACTATTCTTAGTATATTTCTTTTTTTTAATATTAATAATATTTTTTTTTTAACCTTAAGCAGTTACACTAGTACTTTATTAAGATTTTTGAAACTATATATATATATAATTATATAGAATTTCCCAATGTCTAAGTCTAGCATCACTTGGCTATCCTTATGGTACCTAAGTGCAACTTGTCACACTAACTCAGTTAGAAATAGACTACTTGTCTAACTACTTAAAGCCATACCAGAAGGGCCTCTTTCCTTCTGTAACAAGCATATTGATTGTCTTTAAAGCTTCTTTCTTTATTTGATTCACTTTCTCTATTTTCCTTTCCTTTTTTTCTTCTTTTGTTTGTTAATTTTTCCTCTTCTCTTTATTTATTTTTTCTTTTGTATGAACATCTTTCTTCATCTTGTTTGTTATATTATTCTTTTTTTCTTAGTCTTGTGTTTTTTCATATCGAACTCTTCATACTTGGTTATAGAAGATGTTCCACACTGTTCTCATTGCTATATTCATGCACTTCTGTGTTGCTTGCTTACTTAAGAGTTATTTAAGTTTTTTTTCTATCTTTACCTTTATAAGTCCTTTTATCAATACTTCTCTATTTTCAATTTTTTCAGCTTCTGATTTCCCAAATAGTGTTTTATACAGGACTCATGATAGAATTCTGTTCTTTTTTTCTTCTTTGAACCCATTCCATGCTGCTGCTGTTGCAACTTTTTGAATTTGTTTCTACAGACTTTTTTGTTCCCTACAGCTAGCCAGATATGCTTGTGTTTCTTTTTCTCCAACTTGGCACACCTAGCACTCTGCTGTTATATATACTTCTGGTCTTTTTCTATTTAACTCTTCAAGTATTGGCAGTTTGTCTGTTATATACTTGATTGTTGTAGCTCTTTTTGTGCTAAGTTTTCTTGATGTACAATGAACTTCTTTTGTTTTGTTTATTTCTTTCCAAAAACTTGTCCAATTATGTAATGCATTTTCTGTTTCTGGCTCTAGTGCTTTTATTGGATTTGTTTCTCTCCACCTAGCCCCAATTTTGGCATTTACTATTATTTTACACAGAAGTCTTGCTGGTATATCGATTTTCTTATTTTTCTACTCTAAATGGTACTCTATTCCATCATATATAACCTTTTTCACATGTATTAAATTTCCACAAGTTGCTTCTTTTTTTGCAAGAGAATCTGCTCTATCATTCTACTTATCTTGATTATGGTTTTTAACTTTAACTATTTCTGTCTTTATATTTTTGCTTTTGATAAGACCTACAATGTTTATTATCTACATTGTGTTTTTTCTCTTTATAATACTTCTGTCTTCTATGTTTCATATTGCTCTGTTAATGTTTCTTAATACTATGATGCTATCAGTATAAATCTCTATGTTTTTTCCTTCTGGAATTGTTAGCATTGCTACCCATATTGCTGCTAATTTTGCTATTGTTGCTAAAGGCTAACCCTCAAGTCCAAATGCAGTCTCCTCCTCTGACCAGTCTTTTTTATTATCTATTTGTACCCAGTCAATGCCCATCTTTTTTACATTGTTTTCTTTTCTTTTTTTATATAATGCCCTCATCAATATAGATAATGTATTTTTCTTTGTCTCTTCTCTTGTTTCACATTAGGATTTCTGTTAGCTAATCTGTAATTATATTGTTTAATTCTTATTTCTTGATTAGTTTTATTTTTAATTCTTTTGTCAACTTCAATTCTGATAATTCTATTTCATCTCTTTTCTATTTTTCAATTCTTCTGTTTTCTAATAGTTGCTCTAATGTTGCATTTATTCTGTTGTTTGTTTTTTCTATTAGTGACTCTGGAACCATCTTCATGTTTTGGTCTCATTTTATCCATTTCTCACATTTATCTGTCATTTGTTCTGGTCTGTTTCCACAACCTTTGCATAAACTTATTTCCATATATGTCTTTCCTTCTTCTTTATGCATTAGCCAATACTCTGCTAACACTTTTTTCTTCTTTTTC